AAGGAAGCAGAGGGGTTATAGGAGCCTTATAGAAGGTCTATATACCTTCTGGAAGCCTTATAGAAGCCCTATATACCCTCAACTCCCCACAACCCTAAACCCTAAACCCTAAACCCTAAACCCCAAACCTATACCCTAAACTCCCCACCTGTAGTTTCCTTTTTCCTCTTGCAAGGAAGCAGAGGGCCGCTACGCTGCGGAGCTCTGGTGACGCAGCGCAAGAGGCGCCGCGGGCGCGACGGCCGAAAAGCCGAGGACCGCCCGAACACCGGGCGGCCCTGAAGTGAGGCTGTAATCATGATACAGGGGCCTGAATAGTTACTAAGACCTATTTGAGGGAATGTAAGAATAGTATAAAATGCTCTGCATTGCAGTCTTCGCATGTTGCATAGACGACTTTGATCGACTTTGATCTGCATTGCGAGTCCAGGAAGGCCGGAATCCCTCAGGGCACTTCTTTGGCCAGGCACCAGGCGACGTACGTCGGACTTTATGACTTCTGTGGAGGTGTCCTTGCCTTCCCAGACTTCGTGTGCGTGCATGAGCCGTGGAGCCTGATGGTAAATGGGCTGAAGCGCCTGGTGGAGCAGTGGGAAGTGCTGTCCCAGGCATGTCCGTGACAATGGTCATTCCTTCGAGCCCGGGTAGAGATGATGTTGAAGGCAGTGAAGTGCTGTCATGCAACAGTGGCTCTCGTAAGTTTCGCAAGCTTGGCCCGTTCCGTCTTTGGGGTCGGGCGCCGGTTCCTAAACTCTGCCCTAAACCGGCTTGGGGTCTGGGTTCTGGGTTTGGGTTCCATGCGGATGTGGGCTCAAAGCAGCGCACATCTGTTGCGGCGGCATGCACCAAACCATAGGAATGCTGCTCAAAGTTGGCAGCACTCCGTCTTTACCTGAAGCCCCCACTTCCAATTGGAAATGATAAGACTGGCCATCTCTGTCTCTCTCTCTCTCTCTCTCCCTCTCTCTCTCTCTCTCTTTCTGTGTCTTCTCTACCTCTCTCTCATGCTCTTGCTCTTTGTCTGTTTGGTAGTGTCTCTCTCTCTCTCTCTCGCTTTTTCTGGGACTCACGCTTGCAGTTTCCTTCGTCTTGCAGCAAAAGTTTCAAGAGCTTCTCCGCTGTGACCCCGAGTCCCGAAGCCCTAAATCCTAAACCCTAAATGCTCCCTACACTTTAAATCCTAAATCCGAAGTCCTACGCCCTAAACCCTACAAACCCTAAACTTTGCACCGTAAATCGTAAGTCCTAAATCCAAAGCCCTGCACCAAAAATCCTAAATCCTCAAGTGCATAAGATCCTCCCAAGGTGTGACATCCACAAGGATGCCGTGGTCTGCCAGGAAGCCAAGGCCGGGTTCCTCTGTGGGGATTGGGGACTCGGGGGTTCAGGGCTCCGTTAAAGGGTTCCTTTAAAGGGATACTGTGGGGTTCTACAATATTAGGGTTCTTTAAGGGGTTCTCTAAACAGGGCCGTGAGTTTTTAGGAAAGAGCGCAGTAATGCTGCATGTGGATTTTGAGATCGTGTTCCCGATCATATGTACTGTGCAATATGTATGCCATAATCTATGTTATATAAAGTATAGAAACAGAGGAGTTTCTTCTGTAGACACAGAATTTTTGGACTTCCTTGCTTTGTAACGAGGTGCAGGGCACCCACAGCATCAAGGTGGGTGAGGGAACGGCTTCTCGAATGCATGGACACACCAGCTGCTCACTTCTTTCAGAGCTTCAGGCGTTTGGGCTTGGGGGTTTAGGGTTCAGGGTTTCGGTTTCGGGTTTAGGGTTTAGCGTTATGTCCTTAGGGTTCAGGGTTTCGTGTAGTCAGGGTTTCCAGGTGATGTTTTCAATCAGGCAACAGCAGGTGTTTCAGTTTCAGTGTGTCCAATGCGATGCGCAAACTTACGAGTTTAAACCTCGAGCACAAGATAGACCCCCAAACTGGGGAGCCAGGCAAGACTGCACACAATGCTTAGGCGTGTTCCTTGAAACTCTGATGCATCTTCACTTGTATGGGCCCCCTTCCATCTTGAGCTTCACAGGGCCAAGCATGCATTGACCAAACCCTAAGCCCGCAAAGCCCAGGTCATTCATCCCGCCTGCATCCTCCATGCAAAGGCCCGAGGGTCGGAGGTCCAGAGAGAGCTCGAAATGCCGGGATTTTAAGCGGCTAAGTTTTTCTTCATGAGCATCTGGGGTATCATGTGACGTAAGGTTCATAATGCGATGGAGATGCGAGTACTGAAAGATCCATGTGGTGTTCTCGTAATTGCCTCTGTGACCCTGATTGAGTCAGGCCGGCCCAATCGTGATCGGCCGATTCAACGTTCTTGAGGCAGCCTTTCGGCGTTGTATGTCCATGGGAAGAAGCCACGGGCTTTCAGGCTCTGTAAAATCCCAGAATAACCCAGACAGCGCCCTCCCTGCGTGAACCCACATTCAAGGCCCCTTGCCCAAACTTGACTCGTTTGTACGTAGCTGCCCGTAAAAAAGAAAGAACACCCGAAAATCACCAAAGCCTCAGGACACCCAGCGCCAAAAGGAGCATCGAGCTGACATACCTGACTAAGTCCCCTGATCCTCCTGGATAGCCCCTAAAACCCCAGACCCCTAAACCCGCAAGAACCCTAACCCTAAGCCCCAAATCCTAAATAACTTCACGCTGGGAAAAAGGTGCTCAAAAAGGGGCTCAACAAAAGACCCAAACCCTAAAGCCGGAACCCCAAACCCTAAACCCGAAACCCACTCTGCAAGGTGGAAAAAAGTGTCAAAAACAAAAAACAAAAACCCAAAGCAACACGGGGCTCAACAAAACCCCAAACCCTAAACCCGGAACCCCAAGCCCTGATCCTCGCCCTAAACCCGAAACCCTAAACCCTACCTGATCCTCGACCCAAAGCCCCCCCGCACGGCTGAAGGAGCAGGTGGAGGTCGTCAACTCCTCGGACCAGCCCCTGGTCATCGGCGACCACAACGTCTTAGAGGTCCCGGAAACCCCCCAAAAAACTCCATGCATTTATTGGGGTTTTGGGGTTTTGTGGGGTGTATCAGGGTTTTGCTGGATTTTGTAGTTGGTTCTGTATGTCTTTATGAGGGTTTTCTTTTGGTTTTGCGGCTTTGTATCGGGTTTATAGGGCTCTTGGAATCGGGATTTGTATTGCATGAAACGCCCTCATAAGAGACTGTAAGCCACCCTTGTCTCTTACTTCGGGGAATGAGAACGAGAGTTCGATTTCTTGCTTCACCCGCAACACCACCGCAACATCCCAAGCAAACTCATGCAAGCACCCCTAAACCAAACAAGATACAACCCCGATTACACCGCATAAAACAATTAAGCCGCCCTCTAAAACAACAGTCTCCGGAATCAGACCCTAATTCTCCGTTACCCGTCATCGCCCCAGCCACACAAAGCCCTAAGCAACGCCTCCCGGAGAGGTGGGCGCCCGGGTCCTCGGTGGCGGAGGCCCCCGCCTGGGCGACGCGAACCTCCTGGAGTCGGGGATCCCAAAGCGGCGGGGGGTTTCTTAGCATAGGGGGCTGAGGGTTTAGGGTTCAGGGTTTAGGGTTCAGGGCTTGGGGTTCAGGGTTTTGGGTTCAGGTTTAGGGCTTAGGCTTTCGGCATCAGGGTTTTGGGTTCAGGGTTTAGGGTTTGGCCTTTGATATTGCTTACCCAGTGCGCCAACACAGGCGAAAGCCTGGTTTCGGTGTATCACGAAGTGCTGCCGCAAACAGAGATCTCCCACTATTCCTGTGCGCATGGCACGTCAGAGTCCTATAGTTTTTCAAGGGTTTTTCTAAATTTTTGGGGTTCTAGAAGAGTTTGATAATCAGAAGAGGAAGGTTTACTAGGATTTTGGGTTCTGGGGTCTTAAGATTTGCGGGTGCCGAATCTCGGGGTTCTTAAGATAGGGATGCTGCCTTTCAGACTCCAGAAGAGCGCATGGCTCGCTCTCTGCCTGTAGCGTGCTGTTTTGAGACGGCGCAACTGTTGTTCTTACATGGGCTTTGTAAAAAACAACAAAATTGCGGCTTGGCGAGGTTTTGAAGTTCAGGGTTTCGGCTTCGGCGCCTTTTCGTGGTGTGGGGCTTAAGGGTTAGACTTCACTTGTTCGAGGTTGAGCCCTCCTAGGAGCCCTTAGAGGAACTCTTAAACGAAGCCGAAGACGTCGAGGATCCGGGCCACCTTGGACGAAGGCTGCTCTGTCCGGGCCTCGAAGGTTTCGATCCCGGGAGTCAAGTGCTCCAGAGATTACAAAGAGAGGCCTTTCGCGATGAGAACTTGATCCAATAGGGTCTTTTCACATTGCAGGGTTTAAGATATGGCCCTCAACCATTAGAGTCATGTTTAGGGTAAATTTCCGTATCATTGCAAGCAGTCATTCACATCCCTCTTGTGCTGAAGGGCTCAGGAGACTTTAGGTTCATAGTACCACCGAGGTGCCACGAGTGCGCCTCCCTTAATCACCTGCTTCTCATTCCGTTAAAGACGAAATGAGCCCTAAAAGGGTTTAAGGTTTATATACCATTTTTAGGGATTCGTAGTATAAGGGTCTAGGGCCCTTACTCTTAAGTCATAGTACCATATACGGATTCATAGCATAAAGGTATAAGGGCCCTTACTTTTAAGGGTCTTTGGATCCTTATGGCCCTCACCGCCCCCAGGAAACAGCGAGGCAACTCCTCCAAAGCCAGGTTTCGGGTTTTGTAGTTGTATCAGGCATCCCGATCCCTAAACCCTAAACCCTAAACCCTAAACCCTAAACCCTAAACCCTAGTTTAGGGTTTAGGGTTTAGGCCCAAAGCTCAATAAGCCCAAAGAGGTCACGTAAAGGATGTAGAGCGACCGGCGCCCAAGAAGGTTGGCAGCGGCTGCACCCTGGGCGCCTGTGCGCCTGCTCTAGAGGGGACAAGATGGAAGAGTAGCGGGTTGGGTATAGGGTTTAGGGAAGCCTGGATAATTGGATATTCATGAGTACTACCCTACCCTAGGGTCACTATTATGAGTACAGTAGAAGGAACCCCACAAAGATTTTTCGAACGATTATTCAGGCTCCTATAGTGCTTCTTCAGGGTGGGGGTTCCATTTAACTCATGGGTCCTGTCCGTGTTGCAAGATGGCAGTTTTGTGCGTGGGGTCTCAAGAGAAGGGGCCCCAATTTAGACGGGTTGGTCACAGCTTCGCGCTTCCTGTGAGGCGAAGGCTTGGGAAAC